GAAATATTTGAGAGATCCAAGATCTTTAGTTCAAACTGGTCAGCTAAACATTTTTTTAAAGAGGTTATCTCCTCGCTATCATTACCAGTGACAATTATGTCATCAACATAAACGATCAGAATAGCAATTCTTCCTTTGTCGGAGTGTTTAAAAAATAAAGTGTGATCAGTCTGAGCTTGGGTGAACCCTCTTCCCTTAACAGCTTGAGTGAATTTCCCAAACCATTCTCTGGGAGATTTTTTAAGTCCATAGAGAGACTTCTGCAACTTGCACACAGAACCATCCCCTTTTTCAAAACCAGGAGGTGGATCCATGTAAACTTCCTCATGGAGATCACCATTCAAGAAGGCATTCTTAACATCTAGCTGTTGCAATGGCCAATCAAGGTTGGCGGCAAGAGATAGCAGAACGCGGATAGTGTTAAGTTTGGCAACAGGAGCAAATGTCTCCTGATAATCTATCCCATGAGTCTGACTAAATCCCTTAGCAACTAATCTGGCCTTATACCTATTGATGCTATTGTCTGCATTGAATTTTATTGTGAACACCCACTTGCAACCAACAGTTTTCTTTCCTTTAGGTAATGTCACAAACTCCCATGTTCCATTTTTTGTAAGTGCATCCATTTCTTCTAATACTGCATTCCTCCATTTTGGGTCATCAAGTGCTTCTTGGATATTTTTGAGTATCCTGGTACTATCTAACATAGTGTTGAAAGCACGAAAACCTGGAGACAACTTTTCATATGAGATATAATGGGAAATAGGATGAGCAGTGCAAGATCTAGTACCTTTCCGAAGAGCAATAGGCATATCAACGTTTGTTGTACTAGTACATTCAAGTGGGTTGCTGGAACAAGGACTCGAGTCAGGATCCTGGCAGTCCCCCTGTTTCCTTCCCAATAACTCCACCTGTTTCCAAAGGCCAAGGTAAGACAGCAACATCATTTGGTTTCCCAGGCTTATCTTCATCCATACCAATACCGATAGACTCCCCCTGAAGAGAAGTCGGGGAAAAAAAGGATTGTGTCTCATAAAAGGTAACATCCATGGAAACAAAAACCTTACGGAGAGAAGGTGAGTAACACTTATAACCTTTTTGATTAAGGGAATATCCTATGAAGACACATCTGATGGATTTAGGGTCAAGTTTGGACCTTTGATGTGGAGGAATATGCACAAAAACCACACAGCCAAATATTTTGGGAGGAAGAGAAGAAAGAGCACTGAAAGAGGGAAAAGATTTAGTAAGACAGGATAAAGGAGAATGAAAATTTAGTACCCGAGAAGGCATCCGATTAATGAGATAACAGGCTGTCAAGACAGCTTCCCCCCACAGATATTTAGGGACATGCATCGTGAATAAAAGAGCTCGAGCAACTTCAATTAGATGTCTATTTTTCCTTTCAGCCACCCCATTTTGTTGAGGGGTGTTAGGACAAGAACTTTGATGAATAATTCCATGCTGGTTTAGGTGATCTCCAAGAACTGAATTAAAATATTCAGTACCATTGTCTGTTCGCAGAATTTTGATAGAAGTCTGAAATTGAGTTTGAATCATAGCATGAAAGTTTTTAAAAGTGGAAGCTGCCTCAGACTTATCTTTTAAGATATACCCAACATACCCTAGAATGATCATCAATGAAAGTAATAAACCAACGAGCACCCGAGACATTTTTTTCACGAAAAGGTCCCCAAATATCATTATGAATCAATGTAAAGGGAGAAGATTCATGATATTTCTTAGGAGAATAAGTGACACGAGAGTGCTTTGCAAGCTGACAAATATCACAAAGAAGGGAACTTGGCTTTTTATTGATAAATAAGTTCGGCAATAACTTCTAGAGATAAACAAAATTTGGGTGTCCCAACCTACGATGCCATAACAAAACATCATTACAGTCATCTGATAAACATAGAGAGTGGTTCGAAAAAATCCTCTTTTCACAATGAACATCTGTAAAATAGTATAGCCCTTCTTCCTCTCTAGCACTGCCAATCATCATCCCCGAGTCCTGTTCTTGAAAGATACAAGCATTTGCAGAGAACTTAGCAACACAATGCAACTCAGCAGTAAGTTTGCTAATAGAGATGAGATTACAAGTAAGAGAGGGAACATGAAGTACTGAGTTCAAAATAATATGCTCAGAAAGTTTAATGGATCCCTTTCCCGCAATAGTGGAGAAATTCCCATCAGCTGTTCTTATTCGTGACGGGTGATAGTAAGGGGTATAGGAGAAAAATAAGGTTGCATTACCTGTCATGTGATCAGAGGCCCCTGAATCAAGGATCCAACGATTACTACGTTCAACATGGAATGCCAGACCTTTTTGAGCAACATGACTAGTTGCCTCAGCAGGTTGAGACATCAATTTCTGAAAAGACGAATTTTCAAAATTTTCAACGTCCATGGTTTTCTAACAACAGGTACCCAGAAAAAAGTTCCTCCAAATACGATTTTGACCCTCAAAACAGGAAGAGGGTTGCTCGCAAAAATCAATGAATGAGAGCAATCTTGGCTACAGTGAAACAATAATTGCTACAGTAATGAACAGTGCTGCTACAGTAATGAACAGTACTGCTACGGGTGTTCTGTGGGCTGGCTCAGAATCTTGTTCTGAACCTAGTGGTGGCCTTGGTTTCGTGGTTGGAGGTGTCTAGGTAAGGATTCTGGCTTGGGCAGTGGCTAAAACGAAAAAAAAAAAAAGAATAGGAAAATGACTTAAAAATAAATCAGAACGGGGAAGAGACTGGAATATAACCAGCTCTTGATACCATGAAGAAAAGAAGAAGTGGAAGAAATGTTTTATCTGAATAATACTTTCTTGATTCATTGAGAGACCCAATGGGTCCTTTTTATATTGAGTACATCCAACTACCTCAACTACATCAATAAATATACAACCACCAACTACATCAATAAATATACAACTACCAACTACATCAATAAATACTATCTAGAATATTCTACAGATATAGCATGGCAACATCGATTTCTTTGTTACATAATTTTGGTTTTAAGGGAAGGGATGTTTTTTTGCTGCTGCCATAGTTTGTGTGTGCATAAGTGCAGATGCGCAACAGTTGGGCCTAATTGGTCTCACATTTCCATCCTTTATGGTTCCTGGTGTTTTTTTGTAGTAGTTGTATTAGGCCTGCGGTAATAAAGTTACTAAGGCAGCAAGCATGATGTGAATAAGGGTCAAGATGGGAATGTAAGTTGTAACCACCCTGCATGCGTGGTAAGTAGGAACGAGGAAGGTGTGAGGTGTGGATTCTGTTAGCGGAAATAATTAAAACCAGTGAGAGGGAGGGAGAGTAAAGGGACCGAAATGGAGTGGAATAGATGGTTCTGAGTGGGGTAGGCCCCTCAAGGCTGGGGGCTCAATCCCTGGTTGAGTCATTTTTCCCCCTTGTAAACTTCATTTCCTTTCTTTTGTTATTCCAAGCAATTCCCATAACCTCTGTTCTGGAGATAGCAATACAGAATATATACAACCAGATTCTCTGGTTTCTATTCATTTTTATTCATTTCTATCAGTTTGTTTTCTGTTTCCTATCAGGTTTTGTTTCTTTGCTTACTATGACTTTAAAGTTTTTTGTCTTGGATATTTTAATATACTAATATGATAGTGTTTTCAAATATTAAAACTACTCTTTTGATGGCCTGTGATTAAAGTAATGAAGCATTGCACCATACACACTATCATTGTATTGAGTAATCACAGGAAGGCACTTCAGCTATTTTTTGAGAAGCCCCCCGAAATTTGTCCAGTAGTTGATCTTTATGGAATTTTGAGAAAATGAAATTGATGTTGTTAGAGATATATAAATATAAATCATTAATATGACTACACCTAACAATTTAAGTTTTTGGGTTGAATTGACGCTTTACATGGTATCAAAGTCTCTGTGACTAAATGGTCACGAGTTCGATTCTCACCGATTTCATTCTATTAATAAATAATTAAATATTCTGTAGTTTCTTGCATAGATAGGTGAGTCTATGCATTGTTCTCCATCCAATCCCAATGGGCTCTTGTGTTGTGTGAGAGGGCGTGTTAGAGAAATATAAACATAAAACTATTAATATGACTTTCACCTAACAATTCAAGCTTTTGGGTTGAATTGGTTCTGTACAGATGTTTTGTGGTTACTTACGACTTACACAGAAGGGGGCTGATCCAGTATTCAGAAGCTTATTGTTGTATCATAGTTTTGTTGTGAAATTCTATTTCTGCCTCTCCAAATATTGTATGTTATTGAACTATAAATTTTAGATTTTTCATCTGATATCCTTTGCATGTAAGACGCAAATGAAATTCTTTAAAATATTTACCAAGAGAGACCAATCCTTGTTATTGGTTCACTTAATAGCATTTATATGCCAGGTTAAGACCTCTTAATTGATTATGCAGGTACTACAATGATCTATTTGTATTTGACCTCGATCAATTTAAGGTAAATATATTTAAGTACTTGGGCTATACTGTTCAATAAGTACGTTATTATGCAATTTGCTATTCCTTGTTTCGCATGAAATGTGAGGCTGGATGATGTAATAATGTTGATATTGTGTTCATTAATGTGACTAATGCCAATCTGATTGTGTTGTAGTGGCAAGAAATAAAGCCTAAGCCTGGAGCAATGTGGCCAACTGCGCGTAGTGGTTTTCAATTATTTGTTTACCAAGATGAAGTGAGTAAAATACTGATCCCCCTTATATGAAGCTAATTTTTGTTTTAAATTACCTGGAGGAGGCATGCTTGTGTTTATAATATCTCATAATATCTTGATTGTATCTTAGAATATTTTAGAGTACCTTAGATAATCTCTTAGGGTCAGTTTCCCTATTTCCTTATATTTTATGATTTGTTTCCTTATTTTGGGGGGCCCTATTTAGTATAAATAGGGATTAGTGGTTTGTCTTTTGTAATCACCTCATAGCACATAATCTTAAGTCTCTATTATTCTCTGTATCTTTTCTCCTTCATCTATGTTTCCAACATGGTATCAGAGCGGTATCATCTCCCATGACTTGTTCTGTCACTATTCTTCTGACCGAGTTCCCTTAAGTTTTGAAACTAATTTTTTTCTCGTTTTTGTTTTCCTTCTCATTAGTTGTTCACTGCAGTTTTTGTCCTTCCTCCCCATTTCCACTCTGTTCCTGCCACCTCCCCCGTTGTAAATTGTCACCGAAAAACAATTTCGGGAACCTTTCAGACTGAAACTACTTCATCCAAGCCTTACGTCATCAATCTATGCGTTTCCAGAAGACCCACATCCAATTGACACTGAACGCACCCTCTGCATCATAACTATCCTCTGCGCGTTGAATTCACATGCCTCCTTCTGCCGACGTATGGCACTTTGTCTGGCCACCATTTGGCTCCGACCAGACACATACAATACAAGGTTGCCCAGCCTTCCTTTTTTCTGGATTTTCACTTGCTTTGTCCAACCGACATCATTTGCGTAGGTGGTCCTTGATACCCTTCTTCCATCCACCCTGTTACCATACTTAAACCAAATTTGCCAAATGGACCACATGGCGTAATTAGAGTTAGCAACTGCTTCTACTCTTGATTTTCGTGCATTTTGATTTGTGTGGTTGTTGTTCATCATCATCTCTGTTGTGGTTGTTCTCTACTGGTTTGTGGCTTGGTGTTTGTTGCTTATTGTTGTAAATTGGTTTGTCGTTTTTTTTTTGTTTTTTTTTATTTTTTGCTTCAGTCGTTGCCGCATTCAATATGGTCTTTTATCTCTGCCAGTCTGCCTTCAATTGCCGCATTTGGTGCACCTTTTTTTCTTCACCTTCAAGGCGCTTAAAGTCTGCCTCCAATGAGGCCTTTCATCTTAGCAAGTCTTCCTTCAGTTGCGGGTGCCACCTCCGGTATGGTCAACCATCTGCATTCAGTTGCAGCCACTGCCTCCAGTGCAGGTGTTGCCTTAAGTGTGACCTTTTATCTTCGCCTTTAGTGTGCTTGAAGACCCATTGGTCACTGTCCTTGAAGACCCATTATGTTGCCTTCATTGTTGGCCTGTGTCTACCTTACGCCCCTTGACAACCATGTTTTGTGTAGTCCAAATTATATTATTTGCTTATTTTTTTCCCTTTTGTTTTAAGTGCTTATTTTGAGGGGGAGTGTTAGAATATCTCATAATATCTTGATTGTATCTTAGATAATTTTTTCGGATTAGTTTCCTTACCTCCTTATATTTTATGATTTGTTTCTTTATTTTGGTGTCCCCCTTTAGTATAAATAGAGATTAGTTCTGTCATTTGTAATCACCTTATAGCACATAATATTCAGTCTATTTTATTCTCTCTATCTTTTCTTCTCCATCTATGCCTAAAACCCTATAATCTCGACAGGTTATTAATATAGTCAAGTTTTCCCCTATGTGCTGTAACATAATTGTGACTAATTAGGGAGGCTAAGTATTTTGAAGTTCAGAAGCTGTCTTCTTTACGTAGTTCCTTTTACATTGCAGATTTTTTTGTATGGTGGCTATTCAAAAGAAGTTTCATCTGATAAGAGTGTCTCTGAGAAAGGAATTGTTCATTCAGACATGTGGTCCCTTGACCCTAAGACTTGGGAATGGAACAAGGTAGTGGTTTGTAGTTTAATAATATGTATATTCCTCTTCTTAGGCAAGTTTAAGCTTTCTTATATCTTTAGAGTTTTTCCATTAATTAAAATAACTGAAGTCCACATTCTGTAGCAGCTCAAACTTTTCTGTTTAAACTTCAATTCAATTATGAACATATTTGTCTTATATTTGCTTATCTCCCCCTTCCCCCTCGCACACTACCCCAGACACCCAGAAAAATAATGTATTTTATAGTCTGTTTGTCCAACTGATTTTTTCATCATCTTTTCTCGCTTTGATAGGTTAAGAAAAGTGGAATGCCTCCTGGGCCTCGTGCTGGGTTTTCCATGTGTGTTCATAAGAGGAGGGCTCTGCTATTTGGCGGTGTTGTGGATATAGAAGTTGAAGGTTAGCTTTCGTTTTTTGTGATTATTATTTGCAATTTGTGGCACTGCATGTATCTTTAAAGTAAATTAATAGGACTCACTACATGAGATTATATTCTCATCTGTGTGGCCTATGTAATACTTTGTAATGTTTGCAAACAATTAATAAGATCTGACTGTCAACTTATTTTATTTTATTTTATAGGGGTGTTTTTTTTTTTTTTTTTTTGGGGGGGGGGGGCTGTTTCTTTGTTTATGCTTGCTGTATGGTTAGTTTCTTGACTGCACTAAAATTGTGCAGGTGATGTAATGATGAGCTTATTCTTGAATGAGCTTTATGGCTTTCAGTTAGACAACAATCGCTGGTGAGTCCTACATTGGATCGGTGCTTAATACATCATTTACTACCATTGCCATCTGCCCTTACGAACTCAGTTCTTCCACTTCGCATTTTACTCTGCAACTGATCGTTTTTCTGCATATACTGATTAGAGTAAAGATTTGCTATCATATTTAAAGATTCTAAATTAGCTAATTAATGATCTTGTGTGCATAATAGGTATCCTCTGGAGTTGAGAAAGGAGAAATCAACAAAAGATAAGGTATATTGGATACATTATACATTTGTACTTCTGATTTCATGAAAATTGTTCCACATTTTAAAACTCATCCTTTAGACGGTTTTGCATGTAACATAGTATTGTTGCTTGATGAAATGGGTTTTGCAGTTAAAAAAGAATGAACAAAATTTTACTGATGATATCGAAAAGATAAATCCAGAGTGTGCAGCAACAGAAGAAACTGAGGATTCAGAATTTGAAGAAAGCAACATTGATGATATATCCCAGAATATTGCATCAAATGTGACCATTGTTGATAGTGAAACACTTATCAAATCTGAAGGAAAGCCTAAGGAATCTGGTTCTAAATTGGACATTCAGAGTTCTTCTTTGCCTGAGGTTGTCATTCTGGACCAACAATCTTATGACATTGCTTTTAGTTTTTCCCAGTTATTGATTAATGAATTTTCTCCAAACTTTGTAGGTAGTGAAGCCCTGTGGACGTATTAATTCCTGCATGGCCATTGGAAGAGATACATTATATATATATGGTGGCATGATGGAGATTAAAGATCAAGAAATCACTCTTGACGACTTGTATTCTCTGAACCTTAGCAAACTGGATGAATGGAAGTGCATTATACCGGTTTGTTAATTTTTCTTAACTATTTGCCAATACATGCATACACCCAACACTAAAAATTCGAGGTAACAATGCTATACCGGTTGGAACTGTACCCAAAACTCTGGCATGTTAACACTGTTTTATGCTCTGACTAAATATCAAGTTCTATTTCTAGGAGCTCTGTGTCTGTCCCTGTCTCTGTCTATGTCTGTCTCTCTCTCTCTCTCTCTCATGAGAAATTATGGTTAAGCAAGAAAGAATTTCCGAGTTATTGGCTGATATAATTCTGCTACTGCAAAGGTGGTGAATGTTTGTACCTTTACCCAGTTTTGAGGGTCCAGAACACGTCATTAATCCCACTGAGTATTATAAAAAAGGCTATCTAACAAAATATGTGCTAGTAACTGGATCTATTAGAGTACAATGATATTTTGACAAATTTATATCACACGAACTTTATTTTCTTTGATAATTTGTCTTATTCACATTATCTTGAAACTAAATTTCACTGCTGAAGAAATAATCAGTGAATATTTCTTAGTGTTCAATTACAAATTATAATGTGAATTGGGGTGACTTGTATTCTTTTGATTACATTGTGCAAAACTAGGTCTCTAGATATAGCTGTTCTGATGCTGTTATTATAACTGTCTCATTAATCCAGATTGTTTAATGTAGAATATATTGTGATTGTAATTTCCTGTTTAAACATGCATTTTTACTGTATTTGATATAGCCGACTTGGCTTTTCTTCAACTCAGGCATCAGAGTCTGAATGGGTGGAAGCATCAGAGGAGGATGATGATGATGAAGAAGAAAATGAAGATGATGATGAAGATGAATCCGATGGCGATAGAACAAGTGAAGAGAATGAAGACGATGAGGAAGAGGAGGAGGAGGTGCCCATTCGAACTTTGTAATTCAAATGCCATTCCCTTATTTAGCCTTATATGTGCAGAAAAGGGGAAGAAAGCATTCATTTAGTGTAGCTGAAATTAAGATTCAAATGGTTGGGCACTAAATTGAATCTTGAACTCAATTTCACCAAATGAAGTGTTCTTACCCTTTTCTTATGGGTAAAAACGACATTTGACCAAACAACATCCCTGAGCTAACATCTCTTAACGAATATGTTATTCTGATAGCATTTGGAGTTAGTTGTAGTATTTTATACCGTTGGGATTAACATACTGTTTTGTTAGAATTAGTTACAATAGTTAGTGTAGCAATGGAAAACAATAGGAATGTGGGAAATAACTATTTTTTTTTTTATTGTAAATACCTACTGTACTTACTGCCTTCATTATATAATATATAAAGTAGTTTTACACAATTTTCAAGTCTATTATCCTCCTTTCTAAGGTTTAAAAATAAAATAGAATTTTGTATAGGTTTTATAATAAAGATGAAGTCTGTGTAAAAAATGCAATGCAAAATACAAGGGAAGTGAAAATAATTTACTAAAAAATCTATTACATCACTGAAACAGAAAAGGGGGGAGAAAACAACAGAAACATACTATCTTTTTGGAATTCTACCTTTGCACTTTCCTTCCATTGTTTTAATTCACTTTGATTGTTTTTGATCTCTTCCTCTCTTTTTGATATTTTTAAGCATAAAGTCTTTACACTATGTTTACCGCTGGAAAGATGCATAATGGGAATACAAATGGGTTCTTTCTAAGATACCTTTTTTTTTGCTCTATAATACCATATCCTTAACGGTTTATGGTAAATAATATTTTGATTTACAAACATTTACCTTTGGACATGTTATAAACCAACTTTTCTAAAGCTTAAGCTATTAGGTGTGAAGAAAGAATCATTAGAATAGCTTAGAGAACTCTCTGAAGCTCTATGGTATTTATAATCAATACACTCAGCAATAATGTACAAACACTTTAATAAAGAAAAGCATGGAGACCTATACTAACATGGAAACCCATGCTGGAATGGAAACCCATTCCTCAATTATACATAAAGCAAATAATGAAGAAGATGAGGAATGGGTATTCTGACACTCCCCCTCAAGCTGGAGCATATATATCATATGCACCAAGCTTGTCACAGATAAATTGTATTCTTGGTCCCCTCAGTGACTTAGTAAGAATATCAGCAAGTTGATAGCTTGTGTTAACAAATTCAATGAGGATTTCTTTAGAAAGGACTTTCTCTCTGATAAAATGGCAGTCAATCTCAATGTGTTTGGTCCTTTCATGGAAGACGGGATTTGATGCAATATGCAATGCAGCTTGATTATCACAGTAGAGTCGCATTTGATTGGTATCTCCAAACTTCAACTCTTGAAGTAATTGTTTTACCCATATGAGTTCACATGTAACATTTGCCATTGCACGATATTCAGCTTCTGCACTGGATCTTGCAACCACATTTTGTTTCTTACTTTTCCAGGATACTAGATTACCACCAATAAATTCAAAAAATCCTGAAGTTGATCTTCTGTCACTGGGTGATCCAGCCCAATCAGCATCAGAGTATCCCATAATTTGAGCATGACCTTTATTTTCATACAACAATCCTTTTCCTGGAGCATTCTTAATATATCGTAAGATTCGAACCACATCATCCCAATGTTCAATACACGGAGCTTGCATAAATTGACTTACTACGCATACCGAGAAGGAGATGTCTGGTCTAGTTAAGGTAAGGTAGTTTAGTTTACCAACTAACCTTCTATATCTGTTAGGATCTGAATACAGTTCTCCTTGATTTGGTAATAACTTGTGATTTGGATCCATTGGAGTGTCAACAGGCTTGCAATCTGTTAAACCAGTCTCTTCCAAAATATCTAGAGCATATTTTCGTTGTGAAAGCACTATGCCACTCTGTGATTGAGCTACCTCAAGACCGAGAAAGTATTTGAGTCGTCCCAAATCTTTTGTTTGAAAGTGTTGAAACAAGTGCTCCTTTAACTGCAAAATTCCCTCATTATCATCACCTGTAATAACTATATCATCAACATAAACCACCAGATAAATACATCGACCAAAGGGCGTGTGACGATAGAAAACTGAATGATCAGCTTCACTCCGAGATAACCCAAATTTCTGTACAACTGTGCTGAACTTGTCAAACCAAGCTCGAGGGGATTGTTTCAACCCATAAAGGGACCGTTTTAACTCCCAAACTAGTCCAGACTCCCCCTGAGCAACAAAACCAGGTGGTTGCTCCATATAAATCTCCTCATCTAGATCACCATGAAGGAATGCATTCTTTATGTCTAGCTGATATAAAGGCCATCGCCCAATAGCGGCGATGGCTAGAAATAGACGAACAGATGCCATTTTGGCCACTGGAGAGAATGTTTCACTATAATTAAGACCATAAGTCTGAGTGTATCCTTTAGCAACAAGACGAGCTTTAAGTCGATCAATACTGCCATCAGAGCCTACCTTAACTGCATATACCCAACGACATCCAACAACCTTTTTGTCTTGGGGAAGTTGAACTAAGTCCCATGTATCACTGTGCTCAAGGGCAGTCATTTCATCAATCATAGCTTGCCTCCAACCAGAGTGGGAAAGAGCCTCATTAGCAGTGTTAGGAATTTGAACAGAGGACATAGAAGATACAAATGCATAATATGACGGAGACAAACGGTGAAAACTCAAGAAGTTATAAATAGGATGAGGATTACGAGTGGTACGACTACTTCTACGAATAGCAATAGGAGAATCACTTACAGACTTACCGGGAGTTGATGCAGGTGCAGTAGAGGAAGGTAGGTCCGTAGTAGGAAAAGTCATTGGGATAGGACATGATGTATAAGGATCCTCCGTGACTACCTCGGTTGTAGGAATGGCTGCCTTGGAACGTCGCTGGTAAGTGATGATTGGTTGTTGGGGAGGATCAAGCTGGTCATGATCTGGTAGAGAAACGATGGGTTCCTCATGATCAGGCTGAGTACTTGTAGGTACCTGTAAAGAAGACAAAGGGAGACCACCAAAGTATGGTACCGGTAAAGCCTCAGAGATTACTATAGGATCAATGGTTGAAGTGAAGTAAGGTGTGTCTTCGAAAAAGGTGACACTGGCAGAGATATACTGACGATGAGTGATAGGAGAATAACACCGGTACCCTTTTTGCAATCAAGAATAACCAAGAAAAACACATTTGATAGCACGAGGGGACAACTTGTCGCGCCCAGGAGATAGATCATGGACAAAACAAGTACAACCAAATACTCGAGGAGGAACTGTATACAAAGGAATTTGCCGGTCTAACACCTGAACAGGGACTTGATGATTGATAGCAGAGGAAGGCATACGATTAATCAAATAGCAAGCGGTTAGGACAGCATCTCCCCAAAATTGTAGTGGCACATGAGCATCCAACAACAATGTACGAGTAGTTTCAATAAGGTGACGATTTTTTCTTTCGGCTACTCCATTTTGTTGGAGGGTATGCGGACATGATGATTGATGCAAAACTCCATGAGATGACATAAACAATGAGAAGTCAGCAGAAAAATATTCTTTGGCATTATCACTATGTAAAACTTTGATTGTTTTGCCAAATTGATTATGAATCTCACTGCAGAAGGATTGAAATATGGGAAAGACTTCTGAACGTTCCTTCATTAAAAATAACCAAGTACATCGAGAAAAATCATCAATGAAAGTCACAAAATATTTAAACCCAGTTGGTGTAGAAACACAACTAGGACCCCAAACATCAGAATGAATAACAGAAAAACTAGATGTTGTTTGACTGTTGACCTTACTAGGAAAGGAAGAACGAACATGCTTGCCAAGTTGACATGACTCACAACTGAAAGACTTTAGATTTTCAAGACCTGGGACCATTTTTTTAAGTTTTAATAAACTGGGATGACCAAGATGGTGATGGAGAAGACTAGGAGATTCCACAGTAGCACATGCCATATGAGAGGTTGATTGGAGGTAATAAAGTCCTTGTGATTCATGTCCTATGCCAATTGTCTTTCCCGTCCCACGGTCCTGGATAACAAAAGAATCAGAATAAAAAGTTACGAAACACTTCAGAGATCTTGTAAGCTGACTCAAGGAAATTAAATTAAATGAACAACCAGGTATAAATAAAGTAGAATTTAATGACATGGATGCATTGGGTGAAACAACACCAGTACCTTGGACAGATACTTTGGAACCATCAGCTAAAGTTACAAAACGAGGACAAGTAGGTGAAGAAAGAGAAGAGAAGAGAGATTGATTACCAGCTACATGGTCAGAGGCACCTGAATCAAGGATCCAGGGTGTGGAATTATTACCCGTATGAGAAATACAAACTGTAGGATTACCCGAATGAGCAACAGTGGTAGTAGAGGATTGGGTTGGCTTTGCTGCTTTCAACTGAAGAAATTCCTGAAACTCCTTTTCTGTAAGAGAAAATGACTGTTCACCAGATCTGTTAAATCCCGTCCCTTCTTCTACACCAGGTTCAGACTGAGTGAGATTGACAGATTTATCAGGGAAACCATGTAGAGAGTAACATGTCTCCTGAGTGTGGCCTGATCGCTTACAGTATGTGCAGTGAAGATTGTTGTTGCGATTACCACGACCACCACGACCTCCCCGAACTCCTCGTCCACCACGACCTCCACGAAAGCCAGAGTTAGTGACTAAAGCGGAAGATGAAGTGTCAATTATGTTGGGACGCGGGTCTGAAGTAGTGGAATTGGGAACCCTCAAGAGACGAGTGGTAAGATAGTCCATGGTGGGTATTTCGTGACTAGTCAAAAGTTGATCTCGAATGTGATTGAAATCAGGATGCATAGCACGCAATACCAAGACTACATATAGATTTTCCAACTTTCCCAACAAGCCTTGACGGCTGTCAGCATATAAAAATATTTTTAGTTCCTCCACTGCTGCCTGTGCCTGAGCAACAAAACTTGTCAT